AGAGTATTTATCTAAGGCCAGTAACATCATCACAAGATCTGAAAGATCTTAAAACTTAGAACAAGTCTTTCTATACCCTCTTTCTGCCTTCCAACTCAAGGTTTTAGGTGTCTTTATAGTTGAGTTTAGATTGATTAATAGATAGTTTAAGTATTTTAGCTAGTTTTAAAATAGAATATTTAGTTACCACTTTCTTAACATATAGTATATATAGTACAATAAGTAAAGAAAAGTTTATCTAATAGAATTTAAATGAAACTAACTACTGTAGCTAATTATTTGATATTAACTGGCACACATTCAAAATATGCTATAAATAGAAAAATATTATGCAAATATTATAAGGTTTACTAATAATGAGCAATAAACATAAAGTTTATTAAAGTATTGTATATGTATTTTTAGTATGTAAATTCAAAATAAAGTTTCTTAGCAATGCATACATTGAATTATGAAATCAAAAGTTGATTTAACTTATTGAATCTTATAAATACAACCTGAATATGACAAAAAGTTTTGGGGTATGATCTGAACAATCAAATAGCATATATAAGATAAATAATATAAAATTTTTATTTGAAATTCTTTTTGTTTTAGTCTAAAAAGAAATGTAGCAGATTATGAGTAAGATTGCAACTAATAAATAAGATTCCTAATGTTAATCATAAACTTTATTAGAAATGATCTGCTACATATTGACAAAGAAAGATTAGCATTAGAGGAGGTTAATGATGATCATCAATTCAAGTTGACTATTAATGATTCTGGTCAATTTTTTTGACCCAAATCTGTTAGTACAAGCTATACTAGTACTATACTGGTAATTATAAATAATGCAGCAAAAAAAAATTTGTTAAATCAAATTATTTCACGCAATTCCACACGTATCCTTTTGCTTTTTTTTTTTAATTTATAAATAGTATAGCATTCATAGAAAAAAATTTTAGAAAGTATTAATAAAATAAATTTTTCGCAAGTATGAGTTTTATTTAAAATCATGTATTGTATTATTTTTGCTTGTTTTAAATACAACATAAACACAAAACAAAAATTTTTTTTATATATAAAAAAAAATTTTTTTTCTATTTAATTCCTTATACCTTTACTATCTAGTATAGCTACCCAGGCCTTAATAATATCACAAACTCATTCTGGTATTAAATGAATCAAGTTCATACAGATGTTAATATCAATCTGCTTCTATATTATTTGAATTTTTTCTCAGAGGTCTTTTTTACTCAAAATATTGCCAGGGAGCTTTCTCAGGCAACAGTTGACTTCAGCCCACAGGTGTTTGATTAGGTTGAGGTTAGAGGATAAGGGAGGCCAATCAAACATTTTTACTCTATTCCTTCTAAACCAATATTGGTTAAATTTGCAGTATGGCAAGAGGCACCATCTTGCTGAAAAATTATATCCCACATACTAAATCTGTGATTTTTAAAAAATTGTTACAAAGTATCAACCAGTACAACTCACTATCCATCGTACTATCAATTTTACAGAACCCCCAATGCCATGAAATGAAAAACAACCCCAAATTATGATAGAGCCACCCCATACTTCACTTTCAGTTGTGCGTAGAAACAGTTTAACAGTTCCTCAGGACACTTCCAGTAATACTGCTTCCCATCTGATCCAAAAATTTAAAACCATGATTCGTCTGACCAAATTACCTTTGACCAGTTTTCAACAGACTAATCTTCATGTTTTTTGCAAAAATCAAGCTATGCTTTTTGATAACCAGCACTTAGGAAGGGCTTTTTTCATTTAATCCCAAAACCAAACTATGCTTCTGGAATATACAATGAATAGTAGAAGCTGAAACTTCCAAGTTTTTCTTTTCTTTTAGGTGGGAAACCACCTGCATGGCAGTAGAGCAATGACTGGAGGTAATTAAATTTACAATCTTTCATTGAGTTGGTTTACCCACCTTTGGTGGGCAACTAACCCTTTCTAAATCTTCAAGCGTGCAGTTTTCAAGCCACCTTTTCTTGATACGAAAGACAGTGGAGAAGCTAATACGATGAGCCTAGCCTATGGCCCTTGTCATGTATCCTTTTTGTAGCGAAAGCAATATTTGTGCCCTTTGGGTGGGAGTGGTATAGTTCTTTTTTTTGCCAATTTGATTTTCAATTAATTATAACATTGCACAAGATGCAAAATCAGACAAAGAAAATCTATTTATAAAGATGTGTCACTTAGTACATATAAGCCATCGGATCTTTGGCAAAAATAATGCATCACGTGTTTCGTAACACGCGCGTGATTATTTTCGCATTGGCAGTATTGATGTTTAATAAAATTCTACTAGTAAACAGTGACGCCATTCACGAATAAAAAAAAACAAAAAAACAAAAGGATACATGCGGAATTGCGCGAGATAATTCGATTTAACGAATTTTTTTTTTTTGCTGCATTATTTATGATCGCCAGTGTAGTAATTATTATAAAATTCCATATGATTGTCAAATTTGTAATTGTTGCGACATTTTGATCGTTTGCATTGTAACATTATCATTCGTAATCGATCTATAAATTAATTATCAATACATGAAAATTAAGGCATTGATATAGAAACTACTAGAATTACATTTTAACCATGACATTTACAGTCCCACAGTACCGTAATCATTCGTTTATTGTCTGAATGCTGCAAAGAGAAACCCCAAACTTTCATTTTTTTAAAAATTAGTTTTAGGCTTTTATTTTACAGTATTCATTTTAAAAAATCGACATTCACCAAATAAAACCAACACAACCTTACTACTTATTATGTATTATTGAATTGCAGGTAAGTTTTGATAGAATTTTTATAATAACACGTGTTAATTCTAATGTAAACTAACTCAACCGCATACTGAAATTACAGAATAGTGAGTAAGTTCTGTGAAATTTTTATAGTAACTACAATTAGTGATTAGACCCGTTTAAAAAAATGTGACGCAAGTCATCTTGGTGATTAGTACTCTAGCCATGGCAAAAAAAAGTTACGGTCATTGTGAGATTCTACTCATTCTGATTGGACGAAACAGACGACTCTTGATAACAACTACATAATTCTTTTCCAAATTTGAGCGAAGATATCTCAGTAGCTACCTATCAAAAATTTTCATCGATTTTGAATAGGTAGTTATCGAGATATCATCGCCAAAAGTTTACCAAAATTTAGGCGATTATCAAAACGAAGACTTCGGCTAAGTTTTTGTCAAATTTTGAGTGATGATAACTACCTTTCAAAATTGATGAAAATTTTCTAGAATTAAAAATAAAAAAATTTCATCGATATTAAATAGGTAGTTATTATAGCGCTTTGCAAAAAGATGTGACCCCCATGATTTTCGTGATAATGAAGAGGAAAATTTCCGAGACTCTAAATTGTCTATTAATTCATATTAGATCAATTATATTTATATTTATTTAAGATTCTTAAAATCTGCAGAATCTCCGATTTTCACACGGATTAAAATAAAAAAATTATTATTGATTTTTTACAGGTATTTACTGAGATATCTTCGCTCAAATTTGGAAAAAATTATATTATGTAGTTCGTCGATTTGTCCAATCAGAACGTGATAGTTCGAGTAGAATTTCACAATGGCCGTAACTTTTTTTCGCCATGGCTAGGGTACTAACCCGACATACCCACAAGCGATCCTGGTAATACCAACTCGGGTCCAATCACAAATTCGGTCCTATCTAAACTTTATATAGGAATATTAAAAGTGGATAATTTAAGCCAGAGTGTATATTCTGGCGGAATTAAGAGATAGGAATGAACATAAAAGTCGAACAGGGTTGGGCAATTAGAATATAAATCAAAAAATTTATGCATTTTATTTAATGTGTAAATTAATGCGCATTTTATCTCATCTCTAGCTCTTTCTAAAGACTTTAACCAACCCGGTATAAAAATATACTTTTGAACCTATATGCACGGTGGACAGATTTTGTATCGGTATCAGATTTGAAAACATTATAAACTATGATTTATATAACGGAAACGGACTTGGTAGACTAATTTTTTATAAAATTTACAAGTTATCGGTTTTGAGAGGATCAATTTTGGGAGGGTCAACAGTATTTCGAAACAAATACGTCCTAATTTTATTAATTTATCCGAAATCAGAATCTGATTAATAATTCTGAATAATGGTGCTTAAGAACACCTTAATCACTACCAAAAATAACCGAGTCATTCTGATAATTCCGATCATCTGAAATATTAAATTTTGTATAGCTAGATAATTTTTATAGTTACTTTGTGCCAATAACTATATAATATAGTATTTGATGAAATTTGCTCTAAAAGAAAGGGTCGGAATGAAACTGCAACTGTAATTTGTCGATCGTGCGATCATAAAAAACAGCCAAAAATAGCTAATATAGTATTCTTATAAAATGCCGATTTTTACTCAGATCAACTATTGTTGGTTTTACTTTTTTTGAAACTTCCGTTCCTGGTTTCGCGCGATGACGTCGCGCAGCTATCCAGTTTATTAATAACTAAGTGAGAGCAAAGATTAAGGCAAATACAAGGTCTATATATACATGATTCGGGAAAAGTAATATACCAAGATTGAAATAGTATTCATTCTCGTTAATTCTATCCAATAACTATCTAATTAAGCTTCTACATTATAGTGAACCATTCAAATATGATCGCGTAGTATTCAAAAATAACATGAGAGCTGTTTAACATTAGCATGAAGATCTTATACTTTTGCGGACATACATGACTGTGGCATCAGGTGACCTATCGTAGAGAATTCTGTGAAGAAGCCGCCGCCACATGATTATGTACTATCTATTAATGTGTTTATTGACCTTTTTTTTTTTAGAAATTATGTACGTACAGTACATACTGCGCATATCGAGTTTACTTTACGTCTAATTATATTTCAAATCCAAATTAATTTGCAGTATTTTAGAATTCTTTATTATGTGTATAAGGCTAACTGTGACAGATATTTTGTAGATATAAGCGGATAATACAAATAATGGAAAAAAAGAATGAACCTCTTAAAAATAACGACGATATCGTGATCGATCAATCTATTACCAACACAGTAGAGTTAAATGACAATAATAACAATAATAACTTTAGATTCATAGATGGCCGAAAATTTTATAATATTAAAAATTCTAAATATCCAATGCCTAATGATAATAAAGAACATGAAAGGTTAAATTATCAACAAGCAATTTTTAGACGTCATTGGCAAGGAAATTTTTCTTCTCCTGTCAAACAGGTGTTAGCAAATAGTAAGAATAAAGCTAAAGTCCTTGATGTTGGGTGGGTAAAAAGAGAATTTTAATCGAAAAGTTTTAAATTCTAGTCTAGTTTAATTTACTGTATTAATTATATGATAATGAAAATTTTTATAATTTTGTAGATGTGGTTCTGCTTCTTGGATATTCGACATGGTATAACTTTTTTTTGTTTTTATGTAATTATGTAATTAATTGTATAATTAATTTATTATTATTATTCTAATGATTCGATTTTATAATTATAAGGCAAATGACTACCCAGACGCCACATTCATAGGTTTAGACATATTACCAAATCATCCAGAACTAACAAAACTATCCAACGCTTCTTATGTCCAACATAATATTCTCGATGGTCTTCCATTCGAAGACAATACATTCGATTTTATACATCAACGATTTTTAGGCAGTTCCTATCAAAAGCAAAAGTGGATGTTTGTTATTAATGAACTTGTTAGAATTTTGAAGCCTGGTGGATACTTGGAAGTATGTACGCATGAAAATATAAACTATCTTTTCTGGAAAGTTTCTGTTTTTCAAAATTTACAGCTGTTTTCATAAATTCTGGGACAACTAAAAATTTGCAAATAGTTTTGGTTTCATCATAAGAATCGCCCAATTCTTTGGAAATTATGCCAGGACCAAAGTTATGTGGATAAGAAGAATTTGGTGATTTTTAGGATGAGGCCGAAGAGATCTCGGGTTGAGAACAGCTGAATGAAATAGAAATTTTATTAGCTTCCAAAACTAGTTTCAGGTAATTTCGTCTAGGCCATATTTATAGTATAAACAAATATACTGTTAATTGTCACTGTTGACGCTGGAATTTGGACTTTAATATTCTTTTTGGTGTGCATTTTCTGTTTTTATTTTCAAGTTAAGATGGATTTAGGAAGTCAACAATCAATATAAGTTGACTTTATTGGAATTAATATTTTCAGATAGACTCTTAAATTTCAGCATCATTAATTAAATACTTATATTTTTTTGTTATTTCAAAAAGATTATGGAATCTCAAGTAGGAATATATCAAGCCGGGCCTGCTCTGCAGCGTTTTTATGATGCATGTAAATAGAAAATTTTATTACTTAGTTAATTTAAACTGATAATAAATATAACTAACTTTTATACCTTAATAACCATTATCATTATCATTTATAATTTAATCAAGTAAAAGAAATGATGATAATGAATGATTTTGATACAGACTTGTATCATAATTTGCATAAATATTTTATTGAACAGGGTGAATTGGAAAATATTCATCATGAAGAAAAGAATCTTATGTATGGAAAAAATTCAGGAGAGCTTGGACAAATGGTATTACTAATAAAATTTGAATTTTAAAATAAAATTCTTTAATAATATACATTATTAATATATTATATAATTCTCATTTTTAATTAACCAGGCTGGTAATGCTGCTAAAATGTTTTGTGAAGGGTTGAAACCAGCACTTGCACCAATTTTGAAAATTTCTTCTAAAGAGCTTGATGATTTATTTGAATCTATTGCAAAAGAAATAAATGAATTGGATTGTTATAAAATTTTTTTTCGCGTCTATGCGAGTAAAAAATAATGTAAATCATGAATTAGAAAAACAGAAATATTATAAAATTTTATCTTGAGAATCATTCATATGCATAAATTGTATATTTTTTTCGTATACATATAGTAATTTAAAAAAACTTCTTAAATATTCGATCATATTATATAAATAAAATATTACAAAAAGAAAATTTTGTTTCAAGATAAAATCAATCTTAACACTTCCATAATGAATATTTTATAAATGCACTTTTACCCAAAAACGTCATTTAGTGAAGGTCGACTATATTAAATTTAGAAAATCTTCTATTATTTTTAAATAACGCACATGGTCGTGTTCAAATAACGCGCAGGTGCGCTTGTACGGTATTCAAATTTTTAATTTTCATATATTGGTCAATAATTGAATGAATAGTTAAATTTTAGCATGCCAATTCCATTTTTGGGACATTTTAAGCATTTTCCAGAATAATAATTCATAATGCCGATCAATTAAGCATTTATTCAGATAACAAGAAAATATCCAGATCTGAATTTATTTGGACTAGCGATGTAAACCAAACCCGGCAATTTGGGGCTTAGGTAGAATCCCAAAGGTTTTTACTAGATTCTACAATTAAATTATGACGTAACCCAAAGAATATAATTGGTAGATTACAAGTCTATCAACCCGTTTTGTACTCTATATTGACGCTTCGTAAGTTCGTCGTTGATTCAACATTTTTATTCACGTTTTCTATTTATGACCTCTGGTAAGTTTTCGTAAGATTTGAAAGTATACCTGACAGAAGTTGAATGCCACTCTATACGGAGAAATTACTTTTCGGGAGGTAGTTGTTATTTCTTTAAATTATGAATGCCATCGAATTAAACCTGAAGTAAATATTCAAAATTTCACTGATCATATGTATTCAAGTATATTATTGTAGCTTTCAAGAGGAAGTTCACCGTGGTGGAAGCTTAAATGTTACTTCCTGGTTTTAACTTGGCAGCTCAGTTTTAAGTTTGAACATTAGCTAACACGAAAGATCCTCTCCAATCTTGGAAGCTGAAGAAATATATGGTTTTAATTTGTGTTTTACAATAAATTTTAGTTACTATTGAGCAAAAGATTGGCTGGTGAGGTCGTGGTGATGACAATTTTATAATTTTAATAGTAGCGATTGTACAAACTAGTTATTGCAAACAACTAAATTGGATTTTTGAGAGTACTTAGAATATTGATTTACTTTATGTACTTTATTAATAATTTGAATAATATGGTAATAAAATTTTATTTATAAAAGTCAAATTCTTATTAATGACCTTTGGGCACCTTGATAATGAAATCATGGCTTATTTTAGCAGATGTTTGATAATTAATGAGGTAGTGAGCATGATCTATTCCATATTTTATAAAAAAAAAATGAACGTTTTATGTTAATATGGTTCAACCTGAACCCTATTTTGATAATAGTAATGTTAATTATTAGAATGTTTTATACCAAGAGACTTTTAATAATAATAAATGAGTATCTTACGTGTATATCTTGATGGCCTTTTTTTATTTTTATATTTTTTTTTTAATAAATGCACATCTTTTGAATCTAATCTGTGATGATAACAAATTGCAACATTAAAAGAGATTTTTTTTATTTACAAAAATAAAAATTCAATATTTTTAATAAATTCAAATTCTTATTAGTAAAATAAAAATTTATTTTCTACAATTACATATTACTACTTCCTTGTGTTGTATAAAATAATTCTTTGATATTTCCCTGCCCACCAAAATTTATATGCAATAAATCAACTATTGAGCTAATTCTAAGTTGTTCATTATTTAATTGAGCAGATTCCAAAACATTTTCATTTTGTTCTGATTCTAAAACCATATCATTATTTTGCATCATGGTATAAGTAGTTAGAGTTAATGTATTATCACATAATTCTCTTTCTGATAATGCTTTTCCATAATAATGAAGTTCAGTTTTAAGGTTAGAAATATAAAAAGAATGAATTTGAACTATACTTTCTATTTTTTTTAGAAACAAACACAAATAATAGGTGCTATATAACTATTTTAAAATAGAAAAGTTACATTTACAACTTGCCTGTAATAGTACAACTGCAACAATAGCTTGTGCAAGTTTCTGAAGATAATTGAAATTACCCTCTATTACACTTTACCATAAACTAGGTGATTTAGATAAATTATAGCCAAAATCATATGGATAATCTCAGTTTTTATAATAAATTAGTTGTGTAATTATTATGTCACATACATCATCATCATTATGCATACTTTTATAAAATTTTTGGCTATCTCACAAATTTGTCAAAACATTCTTTTATGAAAGCCAAGACCTATATATATGTAAATAAAATAAATAAATAATTAAAAATTTATCCATATTTTTTAATTGGCAACTGTGTATCTTTATTTATTTATAAAAAATAACTATTGATTAGTTTAATATTAATAAAAAAAAATATATTGATATAAATGGCTATTCAAGCCTACCTCATAATAAACACCAAATACAAGATTATAAGGTATATAGCTTTGGTATTTAATCTATTTGGGTCAAATACTTTAATTATAAACTAGTTTTAAACTTGAAAATAGTACCTCTATAATCTTAATAAAGATAATAGACAAGCATATATAGTTTAATATCATATTCGGCATAGTGACTTGAAAATAGTACCTCTATAATCTTGATAAAGATAATAGGCAAGCATATATAGTTCAATATCATATTCGGCATAGTGTTTGTTGAATATATTAATAACTAATCCACAAAAAGCATTATTTGAAATAATTATATTGATAGCTACAGCTAACTTTACTATATTAACAAAGCAATTGCAGTATGTGTTTCTAGATTGTGAATTGCCTCTTTAATAGGCTAAATTATAGAAGCAATTTGATGACAATTTGCATAAAATGTATCATTATCATCATTTAATAATAGAATAATAGCCAGTTTAATTATATCTCAATTACTTTTTAAAATATAAAAAAAATAATAATTTATTTTAATCAGTTATAGGCTTTACTCTTATATACTTATATAGTCTATATTAAATATATTACCTTATCAAAAATAGGTTTTAATCTTACAATAGAAGACATAGTACCAAAAACAGAAGCCCATCTTGTTTTAGTATATATTTCTAAGCCACTGCCACCTAATTTCATATTTTCAATACCATTGTAAAGAAGTTGATATGCTCTATATGACTTTTTAAAAAACAAAACAATTTGATTTGCTTGTTTTAAAACATGATCAACAGGTTTGATTTTTACTATATTATTTGCAATAAGATTCAATGCATGAGCAATACATCTGATATTCCAAATATAAGAATAATTATATGTAGTAATTTTACAGGAAACATAAATATTACTTCCATTATCTGTAATACAAGCTATAAATTTGCTAGAGCCAATTTTATCAATGACATCAGAAATTTTAAAGGCAAGGAATTTACCTATCTGTATCATATCAGAAAAATCCAAAATTGAATACAATATTTTTTATAGTTAGAAGTAGAAACAATAAAATTAAATAATGAATTATTTGATAGAAGATGACTATCCATCAATTGCTATTAAAATAACATATTATTATTATAAAATTTATAATACTATACTATATAAAAAAGGTTTATTTAATTTTTTTTTTTTTTTTTTACCTAAAGTTAAACTTTGTGCTTTGTCAAGTAAACTATTCATTTGTATTGTTATACAGGCTATTTCCTTATCAAGTATTCATTCTGCTAATGTAACTCTTCCAGGAGGAATGTACTCTGGTTCAAGTAGGTTAAGAAGATCACAGACAAATAGATTATCAATTACAGAGAATGCAATTCCTGCATAAACAAAAGCTTTGAGTATAGCTTTATTAATTTTGTTAGTTCTTCTATTTATACAGGTTTACTACATAAATACAGGTGTAACTTTATTGAAGATGATAATAATTTACTTTTATTATCACTATTATCATCTTTTACATTGTCATTTCATTTTGTTACCCAAATTAGATAATAATGTCTTATATTATCAGGAACTTCACCTTTGTAATATAAAGCTAAATAAGCCTCCATAACTGCAGGCCTCCCACATTTCTATTTTTCTTTAACACAATATCAGCATTGAGCACCATAGTGACCTTTATCATTAGATACACCAATATTAAAGTCTTCCCAGACAGGATCTCTTGGACACCCACCTTTATTTACTAAGACCTTTTGAAGACTAGTTTCACTTGCCTTCTGTTTACCAGAAGTTTTACTGGATTGTGATGTTTTAGAAATGTTTTCAGAAAAATCTTCTTCCATATCAAAAACTTTAATTAATTGCTTTATTACAAGTTAAAAATCGATTTTATTAAATTTTTAAATAATATATATACATTATTTGAAATTATATTTTTAAACAAAACAGTTTAGCTTATATGCTAAATAACTTTGGGATATAAATTATCAAATTAATCCATAGAACAAAACAGTTAACAATTATCAAATCATTAATCATAACTATATAAAACTTTTCTTGCAAAAATGTAGCTAGACTAAAACTGGAGACATTTTTAAAAAAGTTAAAGAAAGCTATTAAAATAATGGTATAAAATATTTACTTATTTATAATAAATACCTACTATTTATAAAAAGAAAAATGGATCATATTCTAAAGCTTTTTCACTCAAGTGAATTCCAAGCATTAGCAAACAACATATGTAAATATTGCTGCCCTTTGTTTGAATACAAAAGAAATAAGAGTGTTACCAACTTGTCAAAAGCTGGATCTAGCCTTATAGTCATCAACGGAAACTTGTGCAAGACATTTCTTGATAGCTTAATTAGAGAACAAGTGTATAGTACATACCCAATACGTTCATGTATAATTTTTAAAATTCTGATCATTGATTGGTCGATGAGGTTTGGGATATGCAGGAAGAAAAGGGCAACCGATTTGGGTTTTGATTTCGGTTTGGAATCACAATAATGGTCGACCCCAAACCTAAATTAGGTAAAAAGTCGTAA